GGATAGTGAAACATCCTAGAAACAAATGGAGTATTTAAAGTTAAAATAGTAACTTGACAAGACTTAAGAAACCGATGGAGTAATAAAGAAACATCTTGTAGGTGTTGTACAAAGGTAAGGAGTTTCAAGGGATAAACTCGAGTTTGATTCTAAAAAATTGCGCAGCTTGCGCTGGAAGCAACTATGTTAAGCATAGAAGCTTCTGCAAGTATCAGGTGCAGACTTCACTTATTGTCACCGATATGCGATAAAAGTCTAATTTACCTCCTCTCACTCTTTCAGTGACCGTCCAGACAGGTCTGAGCAGCGGGGCTCATCTTTTTTTAAAAAAAAAACATTGGTTGAATCATTTGTCTTCTTATCTCACTTACCCCAACACTTCCCACCAAAGGAACAGTGTTAGGTCCTTCGGACCATTGTGGGAGCACTTTGTTTGGACACCTTCATTAATTAATCGTGTCCGCTAATACTCCCTCCGTCCAATATTTAACTTTACAGTTTGACCGGGCACGCAAATTAAGAAAAGCAAAAAAACCCTTGACTTTCCAAAGTTGCCCTTTACCCTTTCAATAATTTATACGGAGTGCATTAAGTAATTAAAGGCAAACTTGAATGGAAAAGTAGTGATTTGATAGATAATGATTACAAATCAAAAAGTAGATGTTTCTTAAAGTACATGTCCACATCAACTACACCACATTTCAAATTACACGGCAATTTCATTGCCCAAATTAGCCAAAAAAAGGTGGGTTTTCCCTCCATTAAGTCAAAATTTCCCACCCAAACATAAAACTTCCTAAGCTATAAATACTGCCTTTCCTTTTTTAGAAACTTCCTATAGCTTTCCTTCTTTACTTTTCTCTTCTTGGTTATCTGCAGTTCCTTCTTTGCTGCCATTATCTTCCTTTCTTTGCTTTTCTCTTCCAGCCATGTGAGAAACACTTTTTTCTTCATTCTTTCTCTTCTTAGGGTGAGAAAGGGCCTTTTTTTCCTTTATCCAAAGCTGCCTTTGATGTCATATCAATTTCAGGAATGGAGCCATCAATTCCTATACAAACACTGCACCCACAATTCGAAAACACACCGGATCAAAGGAAAAAAAGGCTAACAAATTTAGAGAGACAAGGAATAATTGACAAGTTGTTACTATGTGCACAAACAAATTTAATGGGCACACAAACTGCTCAGAGGGGTGATGTGCAAAGTGTTGCTGCTGAGTCCAACGTTAGTAGACAGACTATTAGTTCCCTGTGGAGAAAGGGTAAGGCACAACTACAAGTAGGTGCCTTAATTGACGTAAGTAGTCGAATGGCAGGAAATGTTGGAAAGAAAAGAGGAGCAGTGGACTTCGAATCCATTACAGTAATTCCATTGCGGAGGAGAACCACAATCAGGTCACTAGCCTCATTAGTGGGGATCAGCGCATAACTGGGTGAAAAGAGGTATTCTTCGTAGCCATACTAATGCAATTAAGCCCACACTTAATGATGCAAATAGGAGGCAAAGGTTGATTTTCTGTTTCAACAGTTAGAAGAAACAAGTATCCCTTAAAACCCAACATTCAAAGGTTTTAAAAATGTGCTGCACATTGATGAGAAGTTGTTTTTCATGACAAAAACATCACAACGCTACTACTTGACTCTAGATGAGGATGAGCCTCACAGAACATGTCAATCAAAGCGATTTATCACAAAAATCATGTTCTTAGCAGTTGTAGGAAGACCTGTTATTTCAGATGAAGATGAAGTACTTTGGGATGGTAAAATAGGGATTTTCCCCTTCGTGGAATGTGTTTCCGCTAAGAGAAAAAGCAAGAACAGAGAAGCAGGTTCAATGGAAACCAGACCAATATCAAGTGTAACAAAAGAAGTTTTTATGTATGCACACATATGCAACCAGAAGGTAATGGCACACACACACACACTAAAACAGAAACAGCAACCACATCATAGCATGCTCAGGGGATTCAAGGGACAGCTTATATGCACACACATAAGTCTTCATATTCCAATGGCACACGCACAGTAAAACAGAAATAGCAATCACATCATAGCTTGCTCAGGGGATTCCAGGGACACCCTATGTGTGCACACATATGTAACCAGAAGGTAATGGCACATACACACTAAAACAGAAACACCCACCACATCATAGCTCTTCAGATTTCAATGGCACACATACATTAAAAAAGAAACATCATACTCATTATAGCATGCACAGGGGTATCAAGGGAAAGCTTATGTGCTCACACATAGGTAATCAAAATTTAATGGGCAAACATACATAAAAGTAGAAGCACCAACCAAATCACAGCATGCTCAAGTATAGCATAAAATCAAAAATACTGAGAAGAGAAGAGTTAAGAGTACACACTTAGGTAAATCCCATCGTGGAATCAGAATCTTTAAGAAGTCATCACATGCATGATTTCGAACACACACAAAGCTCGATGGGGCCTTCCAAGAGTCAACAGGGTTTTTGTCTTCCTCTGAATTAGGTACCACCGCTTCGAGATTCTCAACCTCATTAGCTGGTACATTCGAGGGAAGTTGCTCAATCACCGATTCCCTTACCGGAGAGATGATTTTTTCAGAATTAACAGATTCTACCAGATCAGTGAAGAAATTTGGAGTCTCAGAAATTATACTCCGCAAATCTTCAGATTCCATCGAAGAAGAAAGGATTAAGGGATGTGGGTGTGGGTGAGAGCAACTAAGGAGAGATCGAATTTTCTTTCAGGGAGAAGTCGAAGAGGTGAGTTTGGGATGAAGAGAAATCTGAGAAAATACCGATGGGAGGTGTAGGTGGGGTAGTAAAATGAGGGGTAGTATGGAATCCTTACCTAAAATGGAAATGTAAAGTTTATTTGTAGACGGACGAAAAAGGAAAGTGTAAAGTTTAATTATGGACGGAGGGAATAGTAAATATTAATCGTGAAACCAGTTGTCCATTCTTATGATGCCAATAATTGGTGTCATGGAGCCCATCATCCTTTGAGCGTGGAACTCTACTAAGTAATTACCTCTCTCGTTCCAAAATATTTTATTAACTTAACTTTGATCATTGTTTAAATAAAAATATATTAGAGTATATACTAACACAAAATTGATGTAATCAAATTTATTTGCACATGTTTTTGGAAAATTATTTCATTATATTGATATATAAAGTATCTTCAAAGTTCAACCCCTAACCCGGCCCCCCTCCACAGTCCTGAACTCGTTTGAACGCTTTTGTTTTGGAACATCCTTCCTTTTGTATTTGTGTCATGGTTATCATTACCTATTTGATTGATTATTGTAAAACAAGTTGTGTATTTTTATTCTAAACACTAATAATTCTATTAAAATGTAATATATGTTTATATATTCTTAATGTATTAGATCATATAAAGTTACTATTAGGAAAAATAGACTAAAATAAGAATAAAATATTAAAAATATATCAAAATAAAAGTATCATTATTTTTATTCTCAAAATAAGAGTTAAAATTCATTTATAATATTTTTCATGACCATATATATTATCAAATAGTATTATGAAATGTCATATCCACTATATCGCGTCACATTACAACAGTGTGAATTCTTATTTAGAAGATAAAATATGAGGCTCTTATTATGATATTTTCTTTATGTTTTACTCCAATTTAGGATGATTTCTTTTAAAATTGTCACTGAAATTTATTTGGAAGAGTCGCAGTGATGTACTCCCTTCGTTCCCCAGTTTTTGTCTACTTTTGACTTTAAGAACTGTTTATCTAAGCATTTTGACTCATCAAATTTTCTCAATGTGTAAGCCTAAATATAGTCATGTGTGATCTTGTTTGATTTGTCTTAACATATAGATTATTAATATATAATTTCTATAATTTTTTAATATACAAATTACAAGATAAAATGGATTTAAAAAGTATATTGGATGGTGTGTAAAAATGAAAGTGGACAAATACTCTGGGACGGAGGGAGTATTTATCTTTAAATTTATAATAATGCTTAAAGAACATCACTTGGTATACATCAAGTAAAAAATAGATACACACACAAACTTAATAGATGCACTCATGCACAAACATTGTACCTCAGTGTATTTCCATTTTTGTTTTGATTTACACTTTGTGTATACTAAGCGGGGTTCCCTAACACACCCCTCTTAAATTTATTCTTTTTGCCTTAAGCCAATGATTTCCTTGGTTAAACATTTCATGAACTCTAACATTGAACAAAACCCTAGCTACATTGTGTGGGGAAATGGTACTTCCTCCATTTTTTAAAACAATTCTCATTTTGATCAAGTGTCAAAGTAAAGAACGGTCAAATTATAGTTGACTATTCATGGGGTCAAACTTTATTCACTTTGTTGGCCTATTTTCGTTACTCATTTGATTAAATAATATAATCATGTCACCTCTAGTTTTGTAGATCTTTTGATATAGTTTTTTTATATGTAATTTTAGTTTTTAAAGTTTATACAGTTTTTTATATAAAATAATTTAAAATAATTTCAGTCAAATACTCCCTCCGTCCGAAAATATTCACAACATTTGCTTTTTCAGCAGTCGCGGGAACTTTTGTTTATTTTTACATTTGCATTGGTTATTTGATAAAATAAAATATTCTTGACACCTCTTATTTTGAAGAACTTTTCATGTAATTTTTTTATATGTAAATTTTATATTTTATTTATATACCAATATGTAAATAAAATGAATTGAAAAAACTTAATATTTTACCTCGGGAATACAAATGTGTCAAATATTTAGGGACTATAAATTTATTTGTGGGGTCACAGTAGCCCCACGACTGCTGCTCCGTATTTCCCAAAACACACATTCTCCTTGCCTCTCTGTCACCGCTCTCCATCTACCGTCCTCACTCCCACTCCGCCCCCTTAATGAGACGCGCCACCTCCGCGGCGGCTCCGCCGAGACCGTCACCCTCTCCCCGCCCCTCTGTCCAAGCCTAGACTAAAGTAGTAGTAGTAGTAGTAGTGTAGTACACCCTCGAGCAAAAGATTTATAGAAATCGTTGAAGGGTTGGAACTCAAACATGGCGGGGAAGAGGAAATCCAGCGAGATTGATAATGGCGAGAGGGTGACGACATTGACCTCACCAAAAACAGGTTTCTTATGCTGTACTTCTTCTTCTTCCTCGTTTTTTCCCCTCATTTTTCCCACTTCCCCAGTACCAAAAACCCATGCCTAGTCTTAATGTTTAGCAAGAAACCCTAGAAATGGAATGTGAATTCGATTTGGGGCTCCAAATCTGTTTGAAACAAACGCTCCCATCTACAGAGTTATTTACTTGGTGAAAATTATGCCTTGAAAAGGAAAGGATTTTCTTTCAAAGAATTTAAACTCTACTTCAATGTCTTCTTTGTGAGTGGTCACTTGATTTCGGGGTAATAAGATTAAAAACATTGTTATTATCCAACTCCAGTATACTGAATATATAAGGCCCTTGTCTCGGTGTATGTTTCTATGATATGTGAAGAAGCCTTTATTAAAATATACTTGTATGACATGATGATAAATACGTGTGTTCGTCGTGAAACATTATTGGCTAGATTATGAAACTGAACAAGGGAATAACATGTATTTGTTGTTTGTAAAATCGGTTCCACCGAACCTGTTGTCACAATAATGGTTAGTTTGGGAGTTGGGATTTGGAGGGTTAAGTGTGCTTCTTGATATGTATATTTATGAGATAGTTTTACATTTTATTTGGCTGCCCTTCTAACTGGAGAGGTAAACAGTTTAAATCCCTGCCCTGAATGCTAGTACATTTTTACTTGTTTTGTTATAATTAGTCTTGAGACTGATTGGCTGGTTTTATATATATGCTGAACAAAGGAATGTGTCAATGTTTCAGAGACTAAGCAAAGCAACTATTGTTTGATGTCGAAGTTTACATGGAAGATCGAACACTTCTCGCGTTTGGATGCTGAAAAGCCTTACTCAAGGACGTATGATGTTAATGAGTACAAATGGTATGCCCCCCACCTCCAAATGAGAGATTAGTGCAAAAAAACAATCGGAGATTAATGCATAAAAATATTGTTCCATGCCTCAATTCTTTCTTTCTTTTCACTTGTTTTTTGGTATCCGCAGGAGGTTGCTACTTTATTCAAAAGGAAACGATGGAGGTCATTTGTCTCTGTACCTTGGTGTGGCTGACCCGTCTACTTTACCGATTGATTGGCGCATACCTACAAAGTTCAGTCTTGCTCTTGTCAACCAGATAGATCCCAAGAAAACCATCAAGAAAGGTATTTTGTTCATGTACAATGAGAGATATGTCGACATTTATATTCTGTTCTTTTCTCCCTCTCTTTGGTTGTTGTTTTGATCATTTTGCTTCCCTGCATCATTTATTCAGAGACAAAACACACTTTCAATGTTCACGAGAGTGATTGGGGCTTCAATTTGTTCGTCCCACTTCGTGAGTTTCATGATAAAGTCGGAGGCTTTCTTGTTAATGATATGTGCTTGATTGAAGCTGAGGTCTATGTGCCTGATCCTTCTCCATGTGTGGCTAATACTTCCCCTGCTCCCCCAGATCAGGTAACTTAAGTTAAATCCTGCATCCATATATTTTCTCTTTTTCCCCTGATTTCTAAAAAAGATTTTTCTTTTTCCGAACAGGTTATGGATTCTTCTGTTGGTCTCGATCCAGTAGAATCTGTGTATGCCAGGGTTCAGTCCGTTCTCAAATCACTACCCAAGAAACCATCATCCAGCTTAGTAGTATCTGATGCTATATGTTCCCCTGAACTTCCTTCAAGTAAAGACCGTGCAGCTTCTGCAAAAGAAATCTTTGACAAATTGATATCATACCCTTTAGACGATTTGGCTGATCCCAAGCATGAGACTGCAATGTCAGAGGCCCTCTCCATACTGAACAACAATCTTTCATTGTTCAGCAATGGAGAGGCCAAAGAAATCACGGCTCTGAAAGCCACATTTCCTCAGATGATGCTGGAATGGAGAGAGTCTGTTAAAGTGAAGGGTGGGAGTGATCATCTCTGGACTGCTTTTGAGAAGACGAAAAGTTTGCTGGAGGATCTTCTGAAGACTGAGGATGGGATAAGAGCTAAATTGGAGGACCTGAGTAAGAAAGAAATGGACTTGAAAGCTCAGATGGAGGCTATTGAATGCGACCGGCGACACCTAAGGGAGGAAAGAGGGGAAGTGTCAAAGCTGACTAGGAAGGTGTGTTCTCTCGCCGAGGAGCAGGGCAGGAAAATTGAAGGAAAAGAGACCGAGGTGGAGACCGCGAAGAAAAAAATGGAGGATTTGAAGTCACAGTGGGATGCAACTAAACGTTGTCTCTCTTTGAGAAAGAATGTGGGATCTGCCCAGTAGTAGTAGTGGCTAGGTAACATGATGTGTGTGGTTTTGGACCATGTTTTGTTGTTAGAACTTAGAAGGGTATTTTTAAAGGTCATTGTGTGTCTTTTGTTGTGGGTCTCCCCCAAAAACACATTTGAGAAAGCCATGTCTGTCTGCACCTGTATGTATATATGTTGTGGGTGCAATAGGGTAATTGGAAGTGGAAATGTGAAGGATGCTGTTCTTAGGGCTCAGTTACTCCTTTCTCCAATTATTCCTCTCATTCTCTTTTTCAGTCAGCCTCTAAAAAAAATTCCCACTTATAAAGTAATGAATATGTGGCCTAAATTTTTTTCTTTTAAAAAAATTTTAATCATTCAGTTTAAATTTTTTAAACATTTTTCTAAAACTCCATATGGTGAACAAATACTAAATTCAGGACAAAAAGAGTATTTTAGAATTCTTTTCTTAATCTACAATAAATATCAGATCAATAGGTTGTTGTTCATTATAAAAAATTAGAATCTCAAAACCAGTTGGATAGAAACTCAAATAAGCACTTAGACTAAGGACTAACACTTCGCAAGATTTAGATGGGGCCAATCAAAAGAGTGCAAAAAATAGTTCTAGGGTATAAGAGTAGAAAGTGAGATTACACCCTAACAAAAAATATTTTTTTCTGAGTCTATATAAACTTTCGAGGTATGAGTCAAAACTATTTATAGAATAAATTCCATAACTAATTTTTATAATAGAGATTTTTCATATTTATTCTTCTATTATCAAATATTTCTACAAATTTACTTTTTTGACCTTCTGTCATATTGATGTAAATTTGAACGCTAAAAGTGTAATTAGACATCAACCACATGATCAGTGATGTATTCTAATGTCGGTTAGATGAAAAGCATAACAATAACGAATATAAATGTCGACTATAATTCTGACAAAAGACCACATTTGTAGATTATAGTTCTAGTAAAACTGTAAAAGTGATTGGAATTAACAAATGACGCATTAGATGTGGTCTCTGAAATTGTGTATGAAAAAAAATATTTCAGAATTGGAGTATGATATTTGTGAAATTGCATTTTTAGACTTGACCGCATTTATTTCACAAAATTGGAGTATGATATTTGTGATATTGCATTTTTGGCTCTCAAATTAATACCAACATGACAAAATATATAAAAAATATTCGATAAAAGATACTCATAATAGGACTACTTGGATAATACGGAGTATTTGATTAGAGACAACTAAATAGGAAAAACTCCTAATAACAAACGAATTATGAAATTTATTCTTACTTTAAATTAAATACTAATCTAAAATTACAATTATAATTTAATAATCTGTATTTAATTGTGATTTTTATATTTAATGACTTATTTAATTGTTAAAAATGATTGAAATCGGTAGATATGGAGCAAAATATAGGTTGATCATTTCAATAATTAAAGAAAATTTTATCTAGTAAAAGTAAATTTATTAGAAACCGATTGATGTTATTATGTGTAGTAGTTGAAAAAGTGCAAAGTATTATCGGGAGGCATAGATAGTGAAAATACCTATAAAATTCTTAAGTGAGATGGACCAAAATAGGGTAAATTTCACAAATGGTACCTGAACTTTAGCTGGAATTTCGAAGTGATACCTCAACTTCAAATCCTTTCACAAAAATCCCTGAACTTACATAATCCTTTCACTAATGAGACATTAGCCCGTTTATAGGTTAACTTCCGGTCATTAGGGCCAAATTCGAATTTTATATATTTTAAAATTTTCAATTTGACCTCATTTCTTCTTTTCTTTTCTTCCACGCCGCCGCCGCTGCCGTCCGCCGGTCAAAGTCGCCGGAAAATGAACTTTTTCCAATTCCGGCGGGACCAATGTCATTCTCTTCGTCTTGAGACGAGGATCAATAATATCCAAACCATTTTGTCTAATTTGGCCTGTAACTTCTCGAATCTGAATTTTTCTACTCGAAAAAACCCTAAAATTCGAAATTGGATCCAAAATTGGGGATTTTGCAAATCTTCATCAAATCTTGCAATTGAGGGGTCCTTGGAGGTCGCCCGGATGCCACGACCGCATTGGCGTTGGTGCTCGCGGTCAATTTCGCCGGAGTTGGCCGGAAAACGCTCCGGCGAAATTGACCGCGGGCACCAACGCCAATGCGGTCGTGGCATCCGGGCGACCTATTTAGGGTATTTTATGTTTGAACTCCTATTTTGAGGATATAACACATGTTTTACTCCTATTTAAAGGATTTTCTTCTTCTTAAAGCCAAAGCTGGAAAGTTGGAGTTTTATTTGGAAACAATGGGAAGACATTATTATTTTTATAATAATTAACGTATAAGTTAATACAATTTTACTTTATTAAAATTGAAATGAACGTATTGAAATTGGAAATAATTAAAAAAGAAAGTTATAAAATTGCAAAGCGTAAGTTTTTAATAAGAATGGATACAATGTATTATACGGTAATAATTAACCAACGTTATTATGAGTACTGATCGGAAAGCATCCGAAATTGTGGTAAGAATAATTAATTGTCATTTTTAGAGTGTCCGAAATTATACTAGCAAAAAAGGTAAGTTACTTTATTAGAAATCATAAAGTTTTATTAAAATTGGTATCAACAATTTGAAATTGGAAATAATTAAAAAAAAAGTAATATTCAAAAATCCAAAAAACCAAAAGTCCATAATATGTTTAAAAGCGTTATTATTATTATGTTATTAAAATTGGAAATAATTCAAAAAAGGTAGTAATAATTAACTTAACGTATTGATTGTATAACCGTGTGACTAGGTAAGTTATAAAACTAGAACGCGTAAATTTTTATTAAAATTGGAATCTACGATTTGAAATTGGAAATTGAAATTAATTAATTATGTATAACCGTGTGGCTAGGAAATTGGAAATTGGAATCAATGATTATAATATAATATAATTATGGTAGAATAATTATACAACCACTTTCGAAAAAATAATTATGGTAAGAATAATTACACACCCAGATTCGAAAAAAGTTAACCCTTCTTACTAAAATTAGCCTATTAGAATTATATAATATAAATACGGTCCTTTTCTAGGCCAAGGTAGTAAGATTATTCAAGGTGTGTTTTTATTTGGTGCTTCAACATCGTCAGGAACAATCTCTGAAACATGTTGGAATATTGTTACGGAAATCTGTGGTTAGTCATGGACAACTCTATATTGTAGTTTCAAGAGTAACTAATCGTAGTGGTTTGAAGATTCTGATATGCAATGAAAACAATATTCCTACAAATTGTACAAATAATGTAGTCTATAAAAAAGTATTTCGAAATATGTAAACCAGTGATATTTTTTACCTTAAAATAATATAATTTCTATATTCTATTGTATCTCATTTATTATCATTAAAAAATGATTTGAATTTAATAACATAAATGTGACTCGTGCTTAGTAGTTGAAAAAGTGCAAAGTATTATCGGGAGGCATAGGTAGTGAAAATACGTATAAACTTCTTAAAGCCAAAGCTGGAAAGTTGGAGTTATTTGGAAACAATGGGAAGACATTCCATCACAATCCCAGTTCTTCAAAAGAATTCATAACAAATTATACCTAATACTCTTCAACTTACTCCAGCCAATACTTTGCTAAAATCATTTCCAATTCAATACGAAATTTGTTGTAAATTTAAAATAATTGCTCTTCACAGGGTATATATTTTAACACACAAAAAAGCCAAATCAAAACTAAACGTTGACAAGAAACTTTATTTTAGAAGTATCAAATACATCCCAACTCCGAAATAAATCATTTGAAATCCCGAAAGAAAATTTTAATTTCAATCAGCTCCAATTGAGATGTGAATTAGGGATCAATTTTTTCCGTTTTGGAACGTGATTTATGTGGCAACATAATTTAGAAGCAGAAAATAGTATTGTCAAATACTTTTGCAACAGACAGCACAATGTGTTCCAAAACAACAAAGTGATAAATATATGAGCCAAATGTAGCTTTGAAATTTCAAAAAGTCTGATTAGATTCACTAACTCACAATGGCTAATGAATAACACACAAACAAAATGGTTTAGCTTGGGGGTGCACCGCCAAAGCTTCCTGAACCACGTCCAAAGCCAGGCCTTCCACCAGCTCCACTCTGTAAGTTAGATGAAAATTGAGGTGAACAAAGACAATTAAACAATATACTCTTCCATCCCACTAAGATCTGTTGACTACCCTTTTATTTCTAAAGCCTATCCCAAAATAATCTTACTTCTTTTTCTCATTGGCTTGAGGAAAAGAATAACTGTTTATTTTTCAAAAATTTCATAAACTTTGTGAAATACACACCAAGAACATATACAAGGGCCAAAATGAGTTCTTGAGAATGGAAGAAAGTCAAATTCCTATCAATAAAACCAAAAATTAGAGCTTTGTCCTGGGCAGGTTATTTCCCTGATTCTATCAAAAATGCTATTTTGACCACGATACAACCTTTAAATAATGGTGAAGTAAGATCCATGAAAATCATTTGGTCGTATATTTAAATATACAAATCCTATATCAGCCTAAAATTAAAGTTACTAGTATCAAAAACATTAAGAATGGATAAAGATTTATTAATGGACACACAATAGTGAAGAACACATGAACATAATAGAGACATATATTGGATAGCAGTGTGTTTTTTGGAACATCCCGACAGTCTTTGCGAAGAAACCTCTAATGCTATCTTTGTAAGATACAGCTGCATGCAATTGAATCTAAGATCCAATAAATTGAGTATAGCTCTTAATGATTACCAAGAAGAGCTACCGGAAACTATCTATGATTCATTAAGTCTGCCTTCCAAGGGACATAGAACATTATGCAGATGGTATCATAACTAGCAGCAAATGAGATGACTCCAAATTGAGCAGACAATGGAGAAATAACTAAAGTTAAGTATAAAAACTCCATACATTATAAAAACCACACATTTCAGAATATGTATACCCAAGATAAAAGTGATAACTTACATTGAATCCTGGCCGGTAATCAGCTGGAGCTCCTCCCTTCTCCCCTGCATATTCCCCAGGTGGGCCTCTTGGGCCACCACGGTACCCATCCCGGTCTCTCCTCTCCCCTTCCCCGAATCTAGGCGGTCCACTGGAAACATTTCCAAAGATCACAGACATTATGCAACAAAGCACCAAAACATTCACATTAATAGCCTAAGGCAAGACAAATTACCGGGGACGATCACCCGGAGGGCCCATGGGCCTTCCTAAGGGTTTTGCAGACTTCTTGAGAGTTGCAGGGACAATCTCGGATGGAAGGTTGAGATAAGTCCTGAGGAATTCAATGCCATCATTGGTAAGGTACCAATAGTAGTGCATCCAAGCAAAGGTCTCCCTGACATACTCCTTCGACTTGAAGCTCTGCATCAGCTTAATCACTTGCAGATTTGGCACCTCAATCAACGGATGCTTCGCCAAGTTATAGTCTTTCTTAGCATACAACACCCCCTCTACATGAACATTACAGACCACATAGCACACGCCACATTAACCACTAATGAGTAAACATAAACCAGAATCTCAACATCAAATCTAGACAAATGCAAGCGCTTTTAATTCAAATACAGGTAAATTGAAAACTACTGACCTTGGAAGAGGTATTTGGAGATTTCTCTGCGGTTCTTCTCCGAAATGATCTAAAACAAGCAAAAAAAAATCAACAAAATAGATCGGCGAACAAATTTCTATACACAGAAAAGGAAACGCAGATTGAAGAGAGTGAAATCTGTTACCATGACTGCTGCTCCGGCGTTCGGGGAGGAGGAATTTTCCGGCGAACGTGGCTGCGGAGTTTGATACCTCTTAGCAAACCCTAGACGGAAGCGGTAGAAAATGACTCTTATATCTATCGCTAGGTTAGGTTTTCATGGGCTGGTAACACATATTTTAAATAGTTCATTATAAGGCCCAATTAGTGCGAAGCCTCTTTATCTAAAATACAGGCCTGATTCAAGATAAATATGACCGGGAAGTTCTAGCCCAATCAAAGATCCAGTTATCCATTTGTTCCAAGGCCTAATCCCAAGATCCATACTTTTACTCTAAAAAACTTCACACCTTTTGAATCAGGAGTTCATGACTATAAATAAATAGGTGTCCAGCACTAAAAATAAAAATAAAAAAAAAGGGTGTCCAATGACAATACAAATTTTTAACTTAGTTTTTTACCCTTTTAGTCTCTCAAGAAAATTATTACCCCGGAGTATAAAAAATTTTTCTTTAAATGTATTTAATGATTGACACAAAATTAAATACTAAAATTAAATATTTAAAAATTATATCAAAAGTGATACAAGGCAAAATGTGGCATATTATATTATTGCGTGTTTCATAAAAGATTAAACAAAAATAAACAAAAATGATAAAATTTGATCATATTTATGAGTAATAACACCATGATTTTTAGTGGAATGCTGAGTATAAATGCATTACAATAATTTTTCCTTAGTATTTTATAGATAAGTAAACAAAAATAAACAACTTTTAAGGGCCTGCAAAGCAATTCTTATTCCCCTAACACTCCTACTCCTATCTTAGTCCCTTCTTCCTCCATTTTGTCATTTCGCTACAATAAACTATTAAAGTTGATCGTGTAAATTAGCTAATCGGGTAACGAAGTTCTAGTCTGGGCGATAAGCTGAGTCGAGAAGGAAAAGCTAATCAACACACTGAACACAAAATATCCAGGAAGACGGTAAATAGAAAACTTGTAGCCTTATTATTATGATAGTAAGAGGATTACAAGGTAGAGCTTAGAAAACACTCAAAAATATTCTTTGCAATGCATGTACCATCCGGGCTTGTCCCTTCTTAGCGTGTAGTGTCCGGGGGTATTTCTATAGATCCAATCGTTGGCACATTGAATAAAGTCCGACTAGGTCACCTCTGTCTATTTAGGTCTGGCTTGTCATCAGCTGCAAATTATATGGTACAGTCGAATGTGTTGTACATTATGGCGAACTCGTAGTTAAAAAAATTTCAGAATGACCACTATGTTGTTTGAGAATGAACACTATGTTATTTCAGAATGAACACACTACTATGAGCAAACTTAGAATTAGCACTACGTTACTTCAGAATGAACACTACATTGATTCAAAATGAACATTTGCTAGATGTATCTAATATAGGTACATCTAATCTACGACATAGGTTCTCGTCCTCAACTAGCACATTAGTAATTCTTTCGAGTCTTAGATCTCCAAGTGGGTGATCCTCCGAAGGTAAGCATTGAGTTATCAAGGATCCTTCATACCATACTATGCTTCCTACCTTGTACACTATGCACTTGGGTGAGTTGTAACTTATCTCAAGCAGAAAATCTTGATATGTTGCCTTCGTCGCAGCTACGTTGGTTCGACACCCACTTGGGTGATTTTAGTGCATGCGGACTCTAGTTACGGTTTGGGTGTAATAGACACATCAGATGCACTTTCTTCATCTTGTTCAACTACTTTTGAATCAAAAGAGATGAATTTTAATCATTAAATGTATGAAGTATAAAATTTGCATTACATATAAATACAATGAAATAAATTTTATAGTTTTTTGTAAGCAAGGTCTAATAAAATTATTTTTGTACTAAATAATGATAAAAAAAATCCCAATTTAAGTTGAAAAAGTAAAACTAAAAGACTATTTTAAGAGAAATAGAGTTTATATATAGTCCATTCAAACAAGTCAAACTAAAAAAATATTTTCAGATTGATAGAGTTGAATATATAGTCTGTGTTTTCAACATGTTTTTTTACCATTCTCTCCTTCCCTGATTTTTTATTCAAAATTTGATTTTTTAAGTCAAAATTGGTAAAATTTTGACTTCAAATTAAATAGAAGTAATATTAAATATTGATACGAAAAATACTTTTGTTAGATTTATTATTAAAATAATTTTTAAAATTTCATTTTATCTAATTAATATATAAAATATATTTTATTTAACTATGAGTCAAAACTTAAAAATATTTAACCGAAAAAAAAAAAATAAAAACTTGACAAATACTAGGAAGAATGTGCGGTTACGGTAAGAATTGCATTCAGACGAATAGAAAGGGGATACATCATACATTAATACTCCTCCCCCTCAGTTCCTTAAAATCCTTCCGCCTTAAATTTTTGCGCACCTCATTAAACGCTTTTACTTACACCTAAAATATCTAAAATATATCCCATTGTGTAGTTTATTGCGGGTAGAAGTTGTTTTAGGGGTATTTTAGACATTTTAGGTGGGATAGAAGTATTTTATGGGGTACGCAAAAAATTAAAACGGAAGTGTTTTGTGGAACGGAGAGATTACATGAATAGGACTATGGGTGCGTCTAGATACAGTGGCCAGAGTAATGATATACGGAGTATATACGAGGGGAACATGCCACATGCAAGAATAAAGGGGCGCACACATACCGTATAAATGGAGTATAATCAATCCTCTCGATGCCTTGTTTAACCCAAAGTAATAAATTATTTACAAAAAAAGAAAACAAACCCATGGAGTTCTATTCAAAAGTTTAATACAAAGAGCTCGGGTGAGTAAGGACCAAACCGATCCTGATATTTTACGAAAAAAACGAGAATACCAAACCGAAAAATAACGAACCGATAAAGTACTGAAAGAAAACCGAACCGTAGCAAACCGAACAGGCACAAATCACAACCCCATAAAATACCGAACCGATAAAGTACTAAAAAGAAAATGAGGTTACTTCTCATACAGAAATTCCTGAACTGAACATATATACTAATATATTATAAAAATAATAATATTTTTATATTTCTTCATTAAATAAAAAATTTATATAGACAATTTAGTTTAATTTCATTATGTTTACGTTGCACTTTAATAAAAGTTTTTTTTTGTAGATGAGCAAAAGAATATTAATAAATGTTTGAAATAATACTTTGCTATCACTCGTTTTCTTTAGTTTGTAAAATACAAACTAACTTTCATAAGCATTTCTTGCATTTTATTTTTTCATTTTTAAATTTTTTATCTTTCTTTGGATAAATGTACTTTTGATTTTTCAAAACTAAAAAGTTTTGTTACATTTTATGATGTAAACTAGGTACGTATATATTCATCCCGATTCGTACAAAAACCGATACCGAACCATCCCGAACCATACCGAACCGATGATTCAAGATCGGGATCAGTACAATATAAAATCTCATACCGAACCGAAATATTTGGTAAGGTATTGGTACGAGCTAAATACCGTACCACGCTCACCCCTACAAAGAGGCGAGAGCTTTTTCTTTACACTATTTTTGGATCAAGAAATTTGTTAGGAAAATAATAGAAAATGATTTTCCCTCATTTCCTCACTAAAATTGAGAAATTTTGATTTTCTCTAATCTTTGCACATTTTGCTTTATTATTTTCATTTCCTTCCATTTTATTTCTTTTCTTCTCTAACCAAATAAGAAAAAATGTTTTCATTCTCATTTTCTTTTCCTTTCTTTTTCAAATTCATTGAACCAAACATAGTGTTAAGGTTGGAAAAAAGAATTGTATGTTAGAAAAAACTAAAAAAATTTCAAAAATTGGAAAAGGGGATGAAACTAGAATAAATTGGAAAAAAATGTAAGAAATTGACAAAAAAATTGGAAGAACCTGAAAGAAATTGCAAAAAATAGAAAAAGCTTCACGAATTTATTTATATATATTTTACATCGTACTCTTATTATATTTGTTATAGTTTTTTTGTTATAATTATTATTATTATTATAAATAAAAAAGTGAAAAGAATTTGACCACGTAAATAATATAAATGTCATTTAATTACGGACAGAAAGAGTAGTATAATTATTATTTTTAAATTTAAAATATTGCTAATTTTCTTAGGTCAATTTAGATTGAGAAAATATCTATAATTTTTAGAAAATAGTTTAATGTCAATGAAATTGTACTATGTATCATTTATATTAAAAATAGAAATAAAATAGAAAATTTAATTTAATTTAATTTGAAAAAAAATAATAATGAGTGTGAACCACAAAATATTGATATTAGAAAAATAAAATAGAAAATTTAAATTAATTTACAAACTATAGTTATAACATTAATAATAATATTTTGAACATACTATTAATAATACTAATAATACATGAAAAACGTATTATTTTTGGAGTCACTTTTTGGGAGTAAAAAAAATTTAAAATGGGAATAGTTGGGAAAACTGGAAAAAATTGGAATAAATGAAAGAAACTAGAAAAAAAATTTGAAAAACTGGAAGGTACTAGAAAAATTTGGAAGAGACTAGATGTTAAGAGTTTTTAAACTTGATCTAAAGAACACGTTATAAGTATTTTACAAATATGTATACACAGTTAATGTATAAAAATATCACTAATGTCATTGAAATACTTATGTCAAACTAGGGATATGAACCGTAAATTTTACAAACGAAGCATTGCAGCCGCTCCAAAAAACTACTCTTTCCGTCCTATAATGATCTTCCCGGTTCGCAAAATGAAGAAAAATTCCAAATTTTTTCAATCTATTTTATTTAAATATTGGTATAGAAATAAAAAATAAAACTTACATATTTAAAAACTACACCAAAAGTTCAACAAAACAAGTGGTGACAAGAATATTTTATTTTATCATATAGGCCATGAAAAAACACAAATAAATATAAATTCCCGTGAAGTTGGAATAGTGACCTGGGAAGATCATTATAGGACAGAGGGAGTATTAGCAATATAGAACTGGTTCGTTTATATATGAGAAAAAAAACTTAAATAGAACTAAAACATAGAAAATATACCTAAATAGGAGTCCAAATTATAAATTCTCAAAATAGGAATAACATTGCATCGGTATCCCCAAAACATCCTTCGACTTGTGCACTGTGCACCCAATTTTTCCTCATTAATTGCGCTACATGTCTAGAAGACCACAAGTACTTGAACCACATGTTCACATGTCACAAAACTAAATTTTTACCGAATTGAACCTCACATGTCCACAAGAAAGCGAGAATGGCAAAATTGGCAGGTGAAGAAAGAAGGTGGGGGGGAGTCATGTTTGGGTATTAAGAGTGATTTCTATTGAAATAATAAAATGGTGATAAGAGCCTAAAAGATTTTAACCCATTATTTGTTTGGTGAGAAAAAAAGTTGAAAGAAAATGGAGATGAAAAAACACATATTTCAATACCATTGCTCATATATGGATGAAAAAGAAAAAGATGTGAAAGGAAACAAGTTATGCGGGACCCTATCAAAAACTTTTTTATCAACAAGAATGAGAAAACGTTTCCAAATAAAAAAATTATCATTTTTTTCTCTCTATTTTCTCTCATTAGTAATTATTTTCCAATTATCTAAACAATATTCTCTCTATCCCAAGAAGATTGTCACACTTAACTATTTAAAAATCACATAAAATTTTGTTTATTATTGTATTTTCATTGATTTTGTAGAAGTTTTGACTTATTTTTAAATATTTAAATTTTATTTTTATATCAAATCTTTAAATAAAATAAATAGAAAAAACTCAAAACATTGCTACATTTAGCGTAATATTACAATCTTTTTGGGATCTAGAAAGTATTTCATTTCATTTTCTTTTTTAATTCAAACAAGGATTCATGCATTGGAATCCTAATTTATAAATATTCATGCATTGGCTGTACGGAGCATCATCATTTTTATTCTTTTTCTGGCACTGACTGATTAAATTTATACGAATAAGAACAATAAAATGGGCAACGACCTTGTCCTGTCGGCCCAATTGTCAAAACAACAGGCCCAATCCGATGAAACCAATGTGCTCCTACTCCACCGCCGGACCGAAATATATTAATAT